TAAGTTCTTTGTAGCATCCTTTATGAGAGCAAAAGCTTGATTTTAAGTTCTACTTTGCTTATGGAAGAGACTGTTCCTAATGTAAGAAATACAGTGTGTGGAAGTTATGGAGCATCATTTTTTTCAGAGGAAACAAAAGCTCTTTGAACTAGTCTTGAAATTTTTTAAAAAGTTAAAATTAATTTAATTTTTTAAAAAAATKAAATTAAAAAAATGAAATGACCTTACTTTATATCCTCCCTATTCCCAGGCAGGCACCAACTTTCCATTTAGATTATTGGAATACTTGAGAGTTTTTAAAAACCTGACTGTTTTTACATGGATTATTTATGGTGGAGGGGAGAAGGGAAATAAAGAAAATGTTCCTGACATGAACATTGTAAGAGTAAGATAAATTTGTGCACTGTCTTGAGAATTAAGGCAACCTTGCAATGGGCATATACTTTTTGATCCCATCATATTCTCTGGGTCAAAAGGAAATAAAACAAATCCTGGTGTCCTGTGAGACTGAGACAAACAAGCTAAAGGAAAATCAAACACAGAGTTTACATGAAAAAGAGGGAAATGGCAGGAAGAAGAAAATGAGGAGGAAGGACACACTATTCAAAGGGAACCTGGGTGTTAGGTTGGTTCCCAGGTAGAAGAACCTAGATCTTCTGATGAAAAGCTGAATCATGAAGAGACCCAGTGCCAGGGMTCATATAGCTGTAGGGGAAAATAAAGGGGTTCTGACTGTGGTCACCTCCTGCCTGCAAGGGCCATGGGAATGGGGTCCTCCTGGTGGAATGGGCTGACTGAGAAATAAAAGCTGGGAAAAATAGAATAGTGGAAAAAAAAAAAAAACACAGAACACAGTAGTTTCAAAATCAGGGGCAGGAYGAGCAAGCTGATCAGATAGATCAAGCTTCCAGACAAAATGGCCCTGTGCCTGCTTTATTTATATCGGGAAACATCAAAGAGATTCTATAGAATGTTCTTCTCCAAAAGGTTAAAGGTGGGCTGCTCAGTTCCTAATGGTTTACGCCCGTCTCTGGAGCTACTATGAGGAACCTTCCAAGCAGAGCCAAGGAGAAGGTCACGTGCATTGGGCAATCTATTTCCATGGGAGACCCATAGAAAGTTCCCAGTGCCAGGCCTATTTCTCCCTGGCCATGCTGAGAAGATCCTCATGTATTTCACAGATGGTTTCTCGCAGTTACCTTCTTAAGAGATGCACAGGTGTTTTGGATGAGTTAATCACTCAATGTTTCCTACAGGAAATATTTGGAATTTTAAACTTTTCCATAAGGGAATGGATGGGTGAATTACTAGTTAGGTCTTACCTCATGTAGTTCTGTCCTTCAAGGGTCATAGCATAAAGCTGATCACTGTTCAAAACCTGTAACGTTCGTTTTATATATTTACCCAGGTTACATTATCATTTAGAGCAAGAGATAAATCTTTTATACTMGTTTCTACATTACAGGTAGTATCTGCAGTCTCCTGAAACTTGGTTTTCACTCATCTCTGTGACTTATCAACACCACCTTCTCTACAGAAGTGCTTCTCAAAGTTGCACCCAGGGAAAACAGATGGAGACTGGAAATGGTTCTGACCTCTCAYCAAGCTAAGCTGGAACTGTTAGGTGACCAAATACTACATTTGATTTTAAAACTGAGGTTTAGGGCTGGGGGTGTAGCTTCRTGGTACAGTGCTTACCTAGCACATGTGATTCCCWGCACTGCAAAATCACTTATTAATTAAAATAAATAAAGTGAGAATTAGTGTTTAACTGTTGCAGAAAATGATGACCGATTTCTCATTTCAGGAAAATGGTTTTGACTGGCTATTTACCCATTAGAAAAGCAAACATCACTTACTCAAAGAAAATTCATTATACTTAAGGAACACCTTCCTCCTTGGAGCATTTCCCAATAGATTAGTATAATTGGCATAAACAATAACAAAGACAGGTTCTGCTCATTGGTTCCAAGATTTGRGTACCGTATATAAAAGGTGCAAAAGCAAAGGAAACATCAGATTCTAGGAAACTCTCCTGTGAACAGGATCCACCCTCCACACCTGCCACCATGAGTGACTGCTGCTGCTCCCCTTGCTGCCAGCCCACHGGCTGCAGGACCACCTGCTGCAGGACCACCTGCTGGAAACCAGCCTGTGTGACCTGCTCCTGCACACCCTGCTGCCAGCCCAGCTGCTGTGGCTCCAGCTGTGGCTCCAGCTGCTGCCAGCCCTGCTGCCAAACCACCTGCTGCAGGACCACCTTCAAGCCCACCTGTGTGACCAGCTGCTGCCGCACACCCTGCTGCCAGCCCTGCTGCTGTGTGTCCAGGTGTTGCCAGCCTTGCTGCCAGCCTAGCTGCTGTGAGTCTAGTGGCTGTGRGTCCAGCTGCTGCCAGCCCAGCTGCTGTGGGTCTAGCGGCTGTGGGTCCAACTCCTGCTGTGGGTCCAGTGGCTGTGGGTCCAGCTGCTGCCAGCCAGTTTGCTCTGGACCYGTGTACTGCACAAGGAGATGCTACCACCCCACCTGTGTCTGCCTGCCTGGTTGCCTAGGCCAGGACTATGGATCCAGCTGCTGCCAGTCTTGCAGTTGTTGATCAATTTATCACAGACCCCACACTTGCCTGCCTCACTTTGCACTATCTGATCTGCCATATACCATAGTATGGCAAACTCACCCTCCTTTCTCTATAGTAATGCCCATACTGTCATCAAACTGTCATCATCTTGCTAACAGATKCTGAGCTTCCTCAGCAAGTACAGTCTTATCTACTTTTGATATTCTCTTCATTTAGTTTGCTGCTTGTCAATGTCATCTCTTCTTGATTTGGATCCATGGTCTCAGTCTTTACAAAGTGATTATTGACTTTTTAAGCTAAGAAAAAATTTTAAATTATAAAGAAAACACTCAGAACTAACTTTCTCATTAGGTCTTTGTGATGATACATACCAATCATTTTGTTTTGATGACTCGTTTTGCCATGCTTTCATGACAACTCTGTCTTGTTAGTTGACAATTGGCTTCTTAATAAACTCTTCACTGTTTTACTTCCTATATTTTGTTTTGTTTCTGTGATTGTTTTGCATTTCGCGTGTGTTACCTTRTCTAAGTCGCACAATGATCTCAAACTTGGGCAGAGCCAAGATGAGTAAAATGACTTGGCAAAATGTCATACAGCTAAAGCCGGACAGAATCAGGTCCAGGATCCGGGCTTTCTGATTCCAGTTCTGGTGCAGTCATATGTACAGCTTAGTATAAGCAGAAATGACGCTGGGRACTGAGCACTGGGAAGATGTGAAATTTAAGTTGTTCCCTGACAATGAAAACACCATTTTCTTACATTGGCAGATCACTTTCTATTAACTAATCTCTTCCCAAATTCATTCCCTACAGTATGGCAACCCGTATCCACATCTTACAAGCAACAGCTGGTTTTAAGTACSCTAGTAAATCTACTAAATGATGTGAATCTTTTATTGCTTTGGCCTCTGTGCAGCCTCTGGTGAACTCCTTTAACTAATTTTGATTGCATACTGTGTTCCTGTCACTGTCCTGGGACTCTGATGCGAGAAGCTCACTTAGAATTAGTTTACTGATGTCATGAAAATGGAATTCTTGTAAGTCCTCATTCTTCTGCTCACCTATGGGAGTAAGTCATGACTGTGAAACACTGGACACACTTCATTTGCACTCAGACTTTGAGAGACCATTTGTTTCCAGGTAAAAACATTTTAAAGGAAATTAAGTAATGACAAATCTGGGGACTCGAGGTAATAGTGTAGTAGGCATGTCAGCCTTTGAGTTTTCCCCCAAAAAAGCGCCCTGAGCTTGGGGAGGGAAGGACCAATCAATGGAGGGAAATGAAAGCTGGAGTTTCAGGGGTAAGAAAGATTGTGAGGAGAGAGAGAAAGGAAAAGGTACTATTAGGAGCCTCCTAGGTTTGAGGGCACTGATAAAAGAAGGAACACCAGACTTTCTAAGAGAGAAAATGAAAAACAGGGAACTGAAGCATTTAGTGATGTAAAGTCTAATACTCCTACAGGAAAGGAAAAATAAGAAAAAGATAGAAACAAGTAAATGACTAGGGCCACATCTTTGAGAAGAGCAGAGTTTCTTCCACACACCCAACAGATGAGGGTACAGCAGGTCTGCGGATTTCTCAGATAGTGCTGTAGGGGGTTCCTATAGGCAGTGTCCAAACACCTAACCATAACAGACCTGCAGAGAGGGACACATCACAACCCCCAAGTTTGTTCTGTGTGGTTTCTGTTAAAGAAGGCAGATCAGGGAGTTTAAAGGACTGAATATGGAAGAGTTTCAGACACACAGGCATCTTGCAATCTGTYTCATCCGTGGGAAGAGAAGACACAGAGTGCAGCACATCATCCCAGGAAGTTCTGCTCAACACTATCGGCATTTATTTTGGTGCTTTTCCTTATACCAAGTTCACAAACTTGACCTTCTATGGTGTTCCTTCCCATTAAAAACCTACATGTGCTTAAACAATATCTGCAGAATGGGGTTTTGCATTCATTGTTTCTGATTCCTTTAATCTCATTTTAAAAAGGCAAATATTATTGACTTTACCTTCAGTCTTGTGAAAAACACCAGGCCACAGACCCYGACTTGTGACCCACCTCACTTATGCCATTGCTTCATGAGGACCCAGAAGCAAATTTTAGATTTTACTTTGGCTAAATTATGTCAAAAATATCTATTGAGTTTATGATGTTTTAAATTATATTTTGAATAACTCAGTTGTCCTATCTCTTACATGTCTTGTGTCCAGAAACTAACTATAAAATTCAGTGACAGATTTCTCCAGAAAGTTGCACTGATCATTATTACTTTTGTTCACCAGATAACAATCTTGACATTACCAGCTTGTCAAGTATTCCCCCACTTTRTTTTTCTTTTCTATATTTTTTTTAGTTGTAGATGGACATGATACCTTTATTTTATTTATTTATTTTTATGTGATGCTGAGGATCGAAGCAGGTGCCTCACACATGCCAGACGAGTGCTCTACCACTGAGCCACAACCCCAGCCCTACTACTCTCTTTTTCACAATTCTCCCTCAGAGAGTTGAGAGCTAAATTTTTTCCTGTGATTTGAACTGAATGTAAAACAAAACCTAAAATATTCTGTGGGAAATGCCTGGGTTAATTGCAGATAATTTTTCTTGTTTTTTTTCAACTCTTTTCAAAGTAGAGAAAACACAGGGGTTTGTTTTTGTTTTTGTTTTTGTTTAAATCAGGAGAATTGGTCCTTGGAATTCTCCCCTCAACATGGATTCTGAAAAGAGCCCTTTGGGATTTTGCTTATACATTTTCAGAGGGTAGGTTATATTTGACTCCAAACTCAAACTCTGTAACTGCCTAGATAGTTTAACTTTTGGAAACATAAGAGAGCCCTTAGAAATGCATGATGGAAAGTCACATCAAGGTCAAGTTCAGGCACAAGGATTGAAAAAAGGGGTATTTGTTTTCTATTACTGCTGTAACAAATGACCACAGTAAAATTTGGCATCCTAAACAACACAAATTTATTATCTTAAAGTCCTGGAAGTCAAAATCCAACATGAGTCTCAATGGCTCAAATTCAGGTGTGGGCAGGAATGTATGTCTTCTCTAGGTATACGTGGAAAATTCATGTTCTTGCCTCTTCCCTTAGAAACTGAGCTGCTCCCMTTCCTTGGCAAATGACCCTGCATTATTCTGATTTCTGTTTCCATCACCATATCACTCACTCTCCTATTTCCCTCTTTTCCTAATAAGGACCCTTACATTTACATTGGGTGTGCCCATATAGTTCATAACAACCATTCCCTTTAAGATACTTACTCTCCTTTGGGTATAAACAGAGGAGTGGGATAACAGARTCAAATAGTGGTTCCATTTCTATTTTTTTTTTTTTTGTAATTTTATTTATTTATTGGTATGTGGTGCTGAGGATCGAACCCAGTACCTCACAAGTGTCAGGCAAGCACTCTACCACTGAGCCACAACCCAGCCCCTATTTCTTTTCTTTTCTTTTTTTTTTTTTTTTTTTTTTTTTTTTGAGGAACCTCTATACTGCTTTCCAGAGTGGTTGCAGCAATTTGCAGTCCCAGCAACAATGTGTGAGTGTACTATTTTCCCTACATCCTCACCAACATTTATTGTTACTTATATTCTTGATAATTGCCATTCTGWCTGGAGATAAAATCTCAGTGTAGTTTTCATTTGCATTTGCTAATGGCTAGACATGTTGAACATTTTTTCTTATATTTGTTGACTGTTCTATTTCTTTTTTTGAAAAGTGTCCATTTAGTTCCTTTTCCCATTTATTGATTGGGTTATTTGAGGGGAGGGTTGCTGTTAAGTTTTTTGAGTTCTTTGTCTATCCTGAATATTAATGCCCTATTACCAATGGGCATCACTCAGTCATAAAGAAGAATGACTTCATGACATTTGCTGGTAAATGGCTGGATCTGGAGAATATCATGCTAAGTGAAATAAGCCAATCCTCCAAAACCAAAAGTTGAATGTTTTCTCTGATATGTGAAAGTTAACCMGCAATAAGGKGGGGAGARGGGAATAAAAAGTGATACTTACTCTCATCTGCAAAGCCCCCAGACTTTCAGAGGACACATTCACAGGAGATTAGGGCCTGCACATCATTGATAAATCATTATTTTGCTTATAAAAACTTTGATACGTTCAGAACTAACATATTCAGAAATTTCAAGAGGAAATTCATAAATGGAAAGTATGCTTAGTTCTACAAAATGAACATATTTATAATGATTCCAGAGATGAAGAACATTTTGAAATTAAAGAAATTAAAATATTTAAGGATTCTAAGACTATTTATGGAGGTTCATTTTCTTTGTTTGCTGGTTCAGTATCTTCTCACAGCTCAGCTCAGGCTATCGGAGTGTTTTACGTGTAGATCTCCAGCTTTGACTAACCTCACCACCTCCTGATGTAACCTCTCTGAAGGCTTAAAAATCAAAATCCCTTCAACAYGCACCACAGAAACCTGGGTTCATCTGGAAGCTGGATTTTTTTTGTTGTTGTTGTTGTTTTKGGGTTTTTGTTTTGTTTTGTTTTTTTCATTTGAGAGACACTTTTTATTTCCTTCCAACATTTAAACTTCCTGGATGTAGAGGTAGAAGCTGGCTGGCTTGATTTCCACATTTCATATTTCTTTCACATCATAAAATAGCTGTATTTAATTATTTCTTAAAAAGATTTTAAAAAATCATAAAAACAACCAAATAGAGTGTTTGGTATAAAYAAAAAAGTAAATMATAGTCAGGTGCAGTGATGTATGCCTGTAATCCCAGCAGCTAGGGAGGCTGAGGCAAGATGATCKMGAGTTCAAAGCCAGCCTCAGCAAAAGCAAGGCACTAAGCAACTCAGTGAGACCCTGAGTTGCTTAAACACAACACAAAATGAGTTCAATCCTCTGTACCCTCCCCACAAAAACAAAAAGTAAATCAAAGGCTAGATAGAGCTAAGGAAAGAACTACTGACTTGGAATACCAAAATTAAGGATTTTACAATGAAAATAAAAACATCTGAAAAAATGAATGGTAATGAAAGCACTTT